AAAAAAAAAAAAATAGTTTCAGTCTGGATCCAAATAAGATCTTTAAATTGCCACTGGTTTGGGGTGCTGGGGTGGCTCAGTCGGTTTAAGCGCCCAACTCTTGATTTCAGCTCAGGTCTTGATCTCAGGGTTAGGACTTTCAAGCCCTGCCTACTTAAAAAAAGATAAATTGCCACTGGTTTATTTTTCTCTTAAATCTTTTATAATGTACATGTTCCTCTGTCTCTTTTTTCTTCCAATTTTTTGTTAAAAGGAAATGATCATTTTTCAAATGATGAATTTCCCACAGTCTCAATTTAGCTGATTTGCATTTCTGTGGGTATTATTTAACATGTCCCTCCACCTTCATTTTCCTGTGAATTGATGGTTGGATTGTGAGGCTTGATCAGATTTAGATTCTTATTTTGTTTTGTTTTTTTGAGAATGGGGAAGAAGCAAGACTTTGTCATAGGTGGTACAAATGATTCTTTGGTTTCTTCTTTGTTCTTTTTTGTTTTCTAGGTGCTCTGTAATTAATATGTATTACATTTTAAAAACAATTTTTTGAGATACATGTTAAAATGCACAGATTTAGAATATACAACATCAGTTTTCCTCCAACATTGTTTTATTTATTATTATTACTGTTTTAAAAATTCTTTACTTAAAAATCAATTTAGTTAACGTATACTGTATTATTAGTTTCAGGGGTAGAATTTAGAGATTCATCAGTTGCATGTAACACCCAGTGCTCATTGCGTTAAGTGGCCTCTTTAAAGCCCATCACCCAGTTACCCCATCTCCCCATCCACCTCCCCAACATTATTGTTTTAAAGATTTTATTTTTTTAATTCTTTTTGCTTTTATTTCATTTTATTATTTTTTAAATATTGTATTTTGTTATTTGTCAGAGAGAGGGAGAGAAAGAGCCTAAGCAGGGGGAGCAGCAGGCAGAGGGAAAAGCGGGGAGCCCGAGGCGGGACTCAATCCCAGGACCCTGGGATCATGACCTGAGCAGAAGGCAGACACTTTTTGACTGACTGATCCACCAGGTGCCCCAAGTCAAAAGAGTTTTACAGTGACCACTCATATAGCCACCAGCTAGATCCTACCATTAATATTTCACTATATATGAATTTCACTTTATATTTCACTTATATCCATCTTTTTTATTCCTTTCATATTGCAGAAACGAGCATAGTTCCTCATAAGTACTTTAGCATGTATATTGTTAACTAGAGTTCGATGTTTTCAAATCTTTTGAGGCAAAATTCACAAAATTAAATAAACTGTATATAACATCTACAATTGAGTGTTTGTACATACGTGATGTTCTGCAACCATAGCTTCTCTCTACTGCCAGAACTTCATCACCCCAAAAGGAAACCCCATAACCATGAAGCAGTTAGTTCCTCCCCATTCTCCCTTTTTCCTAGCCCCTGGCATCACCAATCTGCTTTCTGTCCCTAGGGACTTACCTATTTTGCATACTTCATATAAATGTGATCATATGTGACTTTTTGTGTTGGGCTTCTTTTAGTTAGTATATTTTTGAGGTTCATATAACATTTAGTTTTTAAAAGATAAGATTTACATACAATAAACCCAGAATTTTAAGTACATTTGTTCAGTTTTGACAAATTCGTAACATGTGTATCACCCAAACCCCTACCCAAATATAGAAATATTACCATCATCCCAGAAATTTCCCTCATGTCCCTACTCAGTCAAGTCCCCTATCCAGAGATAGCTACTGTTCTGATTTCTTTTCTTTTTTTTTTTTTTTAAGTGGGCATGGAGCCTGCTTAAAAACATGGGGCTTAAACTCACTACCCTGAGATTGAGACCTGAGCTGAGATCAAGAGTCAGCCACTTAACTGACTGAGCCACCCAGGCTCCCTTGTTCTGAATTTTTTCTACCGTAGATTAGCTTTGCCTATTCTAGAGCTTGATATAAATGGAATCCTGTGTGTATTCTCTTTCTGTAAGGCTTCATTTACCTAGCATATGTTTTGAGATTAATCCATATTGTTGCATGTATCAGTAGTTGATTCTTTTCTCTTTTTTTAGCTCCTTTTAATTATTGAATAGTATTACATTGTATAAATATACTACAATTTGTTTATCCTTTCACCTGTTGATGGCCATTTGTATATTGTTTTTAAGTGGGTTTGGGGAGAATTGTTTTATTGTATGCCAGAAAGGTCGATTCTTGAACAAATAGAAAAAATATATACAAAATAAGTCTTTTTCACTAATTTTAATGAAACAGATACTTGGTATTTTCTTTCCTCAAAGCATTTGGCCATCCAGTGCCATTGGTCTCAGAGGCCAGCAGTTATTGGAGACGTCCTTCAAGTCTACAGTGGGTCTGAAGGGAGGGCTATTATTTTCTGTGAAACCAAAAAGAATGTAACTGAAATGGCCATGAATCCACATATAAAACAGGTAAGTATTTTCTCATGCTTTCTCTAATTGAGATTATAGGGATGATTCATTGAACAAAAATACTGTCCTTTGTTTTTTTTTTTTTTTCTTGCTTTTTTTTTTTTTTTTTTAATGAGAGAAAGAGAAGGGCGGGGGAGAGAGAGCATGCCTGGGGGTACAGAGAGAAAGGCAGAGGGAGAGGGAGAGAGAGAGAATCCCAAGCAGGCTCCCTGCCCAGTATGGAGCCCAGCAGGGGAGGCTTGATCTCACGACTCTGAGATCATGAGCCGAAATCAAGAGTCAGACACTTAACCGACTGAGCCATCCAGGCACCCCAAGATTGTCAGTTTTAGAATTGAGTCTAATTCAGAAGGAAGTTATAGCCAGCCTGTCATGATCTTTTAAGTCAGGATAGAAGTCTACCCATTTTCCTGAGAAGGCTTTTTAAGACTTTGCATAATGTGATCTTGAAAATATAAAAGTGAAACAAAATGAGTTTCTGTGAGCAAGAGGGGGTAGTATTTTAAAGTTGTGTTATAAAATGAATCACAAATATTTATTGAATGAATGGCTCAGAATACTAAGTCTATATGTCTTTTTTAACTTTTTATAGTAGAAAATTTTAAACATATACAAAAGTTGACAGTGTAATGAACCCCTGTGTATTCATTCTCCAGCTGCAACAGTTATCCTATTTCATCCACATGCCCACTCACTTCCTGCTCCTGAATTATTTTGATGGAAACCCTAGATAACATATTATTACATCCATAAATAATTGGGTATGTGTCTCTAAAAGAAAAGAATTGTTTTTTTTAAAGGTTTTATTAATCTATTTGACAGAGAGACACAGCGAGAGATGGAACACAAGCAGGGGGAGTGG